CTAGTGGGTGGGATGAAGGAAGGCCCTCGGACCATGTAAAGTCTAGTGGGTGGGATGAAAGTGGTGTGAGAAAAGATACTGCTGTCACAGTTCTTACAGATAGGACCAATGAAAGATTGGACCATAGTTTTGAAAATGAGAGCAGAGCCTGGGGAAGCACAGAACCACATTATATGAATTCTGACGGAGAGAGAGGTGTTTCTCCTCACGGAGGGAATGCTGGTAATCTTAATGCTTTGAACATTTCAGAACCTTCAGTTATGCAAAAGCTTACAAATGCTCAAGCTATTCATCTCACTTCTCAAGCTTCTGATCAAAATATGGAGAGAACTTCGGCACATGTCCTTGGACATAATTCAAATCCAGAAGCTTCAGGCATCATTCTTTCTGCCACAGCCACTCAGCCTTATGGATCTGCTAGTTCTTATATTCAGCCACAGGGGCTGACAGAAGATAGCTTTGCCAGAACACTTGGCTCTAATGCACTAAATGAATTTATGCATGCTAGAGATGGTCTTCATCAAGTTCATTTGCCTGGACAGAGCTTCAGTGGTACAGGTATTGGTATGAGCTCTGAACATTCTGCAGCTCTGAATGGAACACACCAAGAACCGAATGTGTTCATACCTATCCCATCAACTGGACACAATAAGAGAGAAGCACCCAGCACACCCGAGATGCTGGAATTCAAAGTCCCTCAAAATATTTCCTGTACTGTTACTGGTGAGCAAGTACACCAAATGAAAACCTCTCCAACGTCTATGATAAAGAAATTTGAGGAAGAACTGCAAGAAGCCCAACTGCAAAGAGTCTTAAATCCCTCTGATCCTTCAGGAATGCTAGCTTCACATCCGATTTCTTCACTTGTTAATGCTATATATGGTCAGACCAATCTGGAGATGAGGGGTCCAAATAACTACCATCCTGCAGATGGCGTAGACAACTTTAAGATGCCCCCCGACAACTCGTCTTATTTGGATAGAGAGAGTAATAAGGTTCCGGAGGAGCAAATGAATCAATCATCTACTGTTGATCCTGAACCTGGAAATAAAGATCAAATCGATGATGTGAAGCAGCAGGAGAATAAATTAGTTGAAGTCAATGGAAAAGACAAATTAGCTCCCGAGGAGTCCAAGGATGGGCAAGAAAATGATCATCCAGGAGATATGAATATGCATGGGAAGGTTGAGGAGGGAAGTGGTAACAAAGATGAAAAAACGATGCGTTTATTCAAAAATGCTCTAATAGAGTTTGTTAAGGAGATCCTAAAGCCCACTTGGAAAGAAGGTAAGATGAGCAGGGAAGTTCACAAAACAGTTGTTAAGAAGGTGGTTGATAAGGTGACTAGTACAACTCAAGGAGAACATGTCCCTAAGACACAAGAGAAAATAGAGCAATATCTGTCCTATTCAAAAGCTAAAATTACCAAACTTGTACAGGTGAGTTGTCTTCTTATCGATTCTACCGGGTTCTTTATCTTGCTTTGGACTTAAAACATTGTTTTTCTAAAATATGATAGTATGTTATTGTGTGCACATTTGAACATTTATGTTACCTGTGGGATGTGTATGTTTTTGTCTGTCCCCGGGATAGTGGGGTGAGGGGTGGGGCATAGACAGTACTGAAGTTGTATATGGCATTGAACTCTGAATTGGATTTTGATTGCATGTCTGGGGTTTTTGTGTCATTGGATATTTTATAAGGCTTGTTCATCCTTCATTTTTAAGATGTTGATTACATGTTAACTTCCACTTATTATTTTCTTGACAGGCATATGTGGAGCGACTTCTGAAGAATGAAGCTTGAGATGCCATGTTTATACTTGCTCTTCCTTTTCTCTTCTAGAAAAATCAAATTCAATAGGGATTTGATTTTCCAACATGTACTGAAGGTTTAGCTGTGTTAGTTTGGTCTGGTGAAGTCAAATCTGCTCATGGTTTCCACTAGCTGGATAGATTCGGTTTTGCAAGCAGAATATCTGTTATTCCTACCATTTATTTCCGGATTTATCCTTGTTTGAGCATTATATGTAATGGGCCTTTCCGCTGATTTCTCGCTTACATTATCTTGTTACTTTTCTTGTTGATCGTCATAGTTTAATTTCTTTATAATTTATCAATGAGTACCTTGGTTGTCTGATGCAAAATTCTAGTGTGCTCCTAGTTGGAGTAGTTAATTCATCCTCTTTCCTTGAAAATTCCTTAAAAAAGAAATCATCATAGACGTATGATTTGCCCTATTCTGCACCTTTTTCTATTTGTTAATATCAACGTGAAATTCATCTTGTATTTTTCATGCATTGATAGCTGACATTGTGACCAGGGACTTAGATGTTTATTTCTTCCTTGGTGTGATTTGACAAGGGAGGGTAAAATGATGGGAAGAAACTAATAGGCTGTTTGGTCAAGCTTCTAAAATTAGTCTATTTTGAAAAGTGATTTTCTCAAAAGTACGTTTCAATGAGAAATAATTTGTGTTTGGCTAATCTATCTATATTATTATAAAAGCATGAATATAATGTCGGTTTACAAAAATAACCTTATAATATTAAGCATAATAACTCACGATAAAAGGACATAATCGGAACTTTAGATATTTGTAATCCTATTAACTTTAGAATATAATACTATAAGTTAGGAATCCTACATAATTATCATTAGGAATCTTATTAGTATAATTAATTTAGAGTATAGAAATATAATACTAGGGTACGGATTTGCTCCAATAACTAAAGCTCCAGTAATTTTCAATACATATCTAGATGGTAGCCATGTTTCCCTATGAAAATTTAATGGCCTTGATTGCATCTTCTTTTTCTCTAAATATCTAAACCATTTTTCTCATTCAAGACAATAAAAAAAAATTATTGAACCCGACACAAAGTAATGAAAAGTTCACGATACATACTTTTTTTACTTCAAATTTGAAAATCAGATTCACTAACAAAATCTCCAATATGTTACTATTGGTTTTCAAAATGGTAAACAAAGAAACAAGCTTCATGGGAAACGAAACTGAACGATAATTTTAATTATGAGTGTTATAGCGAAGAAGAAAAAGATTTTGTGTGAGTTTCTCTATCTTCTCTGTAGTCTACAATATAAATCTTTTTCTCTACAACATTTGCTCAGGTTTCTCGCCCTTGGGCTTCAACAACGTCCATGCATGTTGTCATGGAACTCGGGATGAGAAGGACCGGGTATATTTCAACTAAATTATTTATTGAAAAAAGCAAAACGAATTCCAATTACAAGCTAGATACGGAAATGGGAGCCTACAAGTTTTTTGGATGAGCATATGGTGGTGTTCCTTTATCTTCATTCTTCATTTGGAACATGTTAGTACATGTTAGCATGTTAATTTAACACCTTTATGAACACGTTAGCTTTCCTATAAGAATAATTACTTTCGAGATAAAGACATATTTTTAGTCATGTAATTCTATTACTTTTAGGATATACTTCTTAAAAAATTCTATTACTAATTAAATTTGAAAACGTATTATGATGTGATATTACTAATTTCATTTGAGAATGTATTATATTGTCCAAATTCATTTAGAAAAAGGAGAGTATATACTATTATAAACGCACGAATACAATATTGATAGACCAAAATAGTCCTAAAATATTAAATAGAAGAAATTATAGAAAAAAAATTAAAATAACTTATTTTTTTGGACTACAAGACCTGCTATGTTGAATTTTTAATATTTAATATTTTAAAAATAATATATTTTGTCTATTAAATTTTTATACAATATGTAGGAAGGCTGAACAAAATTAATTTTATAAGAATCCTCCATATTGACAGTACATTATCACTCCATAATATCTAATACTAAGGGAAAATAAAAGTAATATTAAATGGACTACATAAAACGTTAAAATTGAGAAAAAATATCCTCATATTATATTTGAACTATTTTCCTACTCAAATAATATATCTTTTAATCAATTTTTCGGGTAATATTGAAAAATATACTCAATTATTAAACAACAACTGAGAAAATATTTAAAAATATAAATGTGTGAGAAATAGAAATAAAAATGGTTTGTAAAAGTCAATACCACTAATGATTCTATACACATAAAGTAGAATGTCATATCGGTTTACTCTTTGAAAAGAAAAGTTTGGTGGATAAAATAATAATTAAGATTAAATCTTCTAAATAAGAGATGAACTAATATAAAAAATCCGAATCAACATAAAATAAATTATTTTTGTCTAAAGACCAAATAATTAAATCTTCAAATAATTATTTAGCAAGAGAATCCAATTCAACTTTTTTTAAAAAAAATTTATTATATGGGTAAAATTATTTTTCAAGTTAAGAAAAATCTTAGGGTATATAAATTTATTCCATAAAAAGAGTGTTAGAGATTAAAAAAATGTAAACACAAGGTAAAAAATGTTATTATACTATTAAGAATCAAACGACCATACAAGTGTATATTTAAGCACAATCAAAGCTAAATTCTGAACAAGAACAAACTTTTAAGACTATATTATAAAGAGCCGACTCTTATAGTGTGATTATCCTTTGTAGATGCCTCCGGCAGAATCAAAATAACATTTTTATGTCAGGCATTACTTGAAAATGTCAAATCAAGAGGCATGATATTGCTAGCAATAATAACAAAAAGATTTGATATACCTCTTCAAACAACTGAAATAACCATCATAAATATATCAAAGCAGAAAAATACTGCTAAATTTATAAGAAAAGCAAAATTGATAATATGGGATAAATCGCTTATGGCGTTGAAGATACATTGAATACCAATGAACCATTTGGTAAAAAATTAATGGTTTGGAAGGTGATTTATGTCAAGTACTATATATCAATAGTTATAAAATCGATGCAAGCAAGGATCGTAAAAACTAGCTTGGCAAAATTATACTTATGGACTCAAATTAAAAAGATTTAACTGACAAGAAATATAAAGTAACAACAGGTCTTTAGTAACTTCTTGCTTCGTGTCAGAAACGAAAAAGAGCATCTAATAAAAGATGGTTTGGTTCTTTCGTAACACTTGGTTATCAATCGCAATTGTAATAGTAGTGCATTTATTAAGAAAAATATTTTGTATCAATAGATTAAAATGTAATTTATCCAAATTGCATGATAGAAATTAAAAAGCTATCTTAACTAGAAGAAATGAATATATCGATCAACTAAATAAAAGGTTGATTGCAAAATTTTATGGTAAAAATAAGATATTTTTCAATTTTTGACTCAGTAGAATATGATACAAATAATTACTACCATAAAGAATACGTAAATACTTTAATACCAAATGGCCTTATACCACACAAATTTGTTGTCAAGTTTATTTTTTCTTATGTATGTCAGTGTCACTGTATATGTAATACATTAAGTTAAAATTGATCCTCCGTTACATATAAATTGATTTGAAGAAAACTATGCTCGTCACGCTAATGAAAATCTTAGATCCACTGAATAACTTATGTAATAGCACATAGATTGTATATAGAAGTTTTGACAATAACGTCATACATGCAAAAATTATGATGCCGGTCAATGTATTTCTAAGTATATTTTTATCTCTGAATTCAACTTTCATCTTCCGAAACTAGAGAATATCCATTTAAGTTTGTGTGAAAATAATTTTCGGTATGTTTATGTTGTGCAATTAAATAAATAAATCACAAGGACAAACATCCTAAATATTGGACTGTATTTATCGCAATATATTTTTTTGCACTAACAAAAAAAATATCAATATCGACAATAAGATTTATGGTTATGGCAGAGCAACCAAAGCATTACAAGGAAACATACGCAAAAATATCATCTACAAAGAAGTGTTCGGTAAGATACCACCAAATTAAATACTTTTAAACTATAATACGTAATTAACTAACACGACTAAATTGATGTAAGTTCTGATGATGTTCTTTTATTTTGAATTCACGTATTATGCTAATGTAATGATATTTTTCAGCTTTTAGATGATTTAAATGGTTAAAAACCATCGTGTATCATTATTAACGTGCAACACACGTTCATAGATACTAGTTATTTTGAAAAGTACTTTTGAATAACAATTAGTGTCTGATCAAGCTTTTAAAAAGTATTCCTAAGTATATTTTTTTTTCAAAAAGTGCTTTGAGGAAGAAGTTAATTTTTCTGTTTTTCAAAAACGGTCAATGATCAAGTGTACCCTTGTACCATTATTGATTATAATATTTAAATCCTTCGTTATACTATTGGGACTTATGGGTCCTTGCCGTTACACATTTAAATATTTCTACCCCTTCTTTAGCAGAGAAGACACGTGTAAGTTCCGTGTGATGCTTTCAGGTCCAACTTAATAATATCCATCCATATTAAGACCCGACCCACCCATACAATAACCCACAAATTTACACCAGCCCCACTTAAATGAAAACTCTCGTCTCTTTCATAATCGTATTTTCTCCCTACATTGAAGAACTTCTTTCCTCCATATTTGGGTGTTTCTTCCCTATTTAAACTTGAATTCACTTATACAGTTTGATTTTGTTTCTTTTCCTTTATCAATTTAAAGGTTGCCTTTTAAGTGGGTACTCAATGTCTGAATCTAGTTGTTCATCGAAAAGGAGGTGCTTTTATGGTGATATATTGCCAAACACTTCACTTCAACCACTGTTTAAAATCCTGCTAGGAGATTCTATAAGTGCGCGAAACCTGAAGTAAGTAATATGTATTTACAAATTTATTTAATTTTGACATTTTTAACTAAATTTCAGTTTTATTAGTTTTCTCGTTATATGTTGTTTGGATTGTGTGTAAGAATGAATCATGTGATTTTTGGGAACGTCTACCGAACAGAGCCATGGTTATAATTAACAATTTTAAGTCGAAGTTTGATGTTATTCAAGTTCAACTTAATACCTTGAATATGGCATTGGATACGTGCAAGATTGAAAGGGACAAAAAGATGAAAAAAGTGGATGCATTAGAGGCTATAAATATTGTTGAAGCGAACAAAGCAAGGGAGTCAGAAGAAAAAGTGTTGAAGCTGAAGATGTTCATTATAATTTCATGTGCGCTATTTGTTGGATTTGTTGCGGCTTTCTTGATGAAGTGAACCTTTGAATAAGTCAAGTGCATTGTGTTTTCCACCGGATGAATGTTTGTAGAAGTAATTCACATGAAGTACTTATTTTTGTGTTGGTGGACAATATGTAGTATTTTGGAATGAAGTTTTTGATTTCATTTCTTTATTTTGTATTTCGGATGAAGTTAATTGCAATGAATTTTTTGATTTCATGTCCTTGCATTCAGTTCTTCTTAATTAGTGTGTCACGAACCAAAAACCACTTAGTCGTGATGGAACCTATTCCTAATGCTAGGTAAGCCAAATATAGAACAAGTAACTCAAATGATAGAGTAATAGTAACAAGAGATAAAATGACAGAATTCTATACAACCTCCCAAGGACTGGTAGTACATGTCATGTAACACCCCTTAAGTTCGGCTCAGGTATGAATGAGTTAAAGGAGTAGTAAGGTTATATTTTGGGCATGTAAAGTCCCATCGGGATGATTATGGGTGAAAATAGTTATTTCAAAATCAAGATGGAAAGTGAGGTGCATAAGATTTGACAAAATCGACTAAGTTTGCAGAAAGTTTGTATTCCAGCAGGTTTTAGTGAAAATGAGTAAGGAATTTGGGCAAACTTAAAGCATAAAAGTTGTAGTAACTTGAAATATCTTTCCAATGATGTATTATTGAGCTCGAAAGAATCTTTGAGTAAAACGTTATACGCATTTTACAGAATAGTATGCGATATGCGCGCCGGTAGCGCGACCGCGCTAATTTTGAGGCAGTGTTACTGCCGTTTAGCATGGTCAGTAGCGCGGGCAGTCCTCCAAATGCACGGGAACGCTAGTGGGGGGTCGTTTTAAAGCTATATTTTGTCCCCCACAGCCCCAAAACATAAAAACTTGCTCTAGAAAGGAGAACTCTCAAAAACCTAACTCCCTAAGGGTCCTTCCACCACCCAAGGTAAGTTCTAATGGTGATTCTAAGTTAATTTCAATATTCTAATATCTTATTAACATGGGTAAACTCTCAATATCATTAGATATTCGTTTGGGGCATCATTGTTGATAGAAGAAACCCTAGAACTCGAATTCAAGAAGATTGAACGTCAAAAAGGTAATGTCTTCACCCTCTAATTGATTCTAGCATTGGATTAATGATTATTGACTCAAGTTCATGAGATATGAGTTGCTGGGTTTGATAGAAAAACATGAACAATTATAGGTTTGGCTTGTTGATTGTTGATTGTTGATTATTGGTTAAAGGTGTTGTTTACCTTATGGGTGATAAAGAATAATGTTGATTATAACTATTTGAGACTTTAGAATTTATCTAGGAGCAAGAGAATGAGTTATTGGGTATAGAGACACCATTAATAAGGACTATGAAGCTTTATGCCACCAAGTGTTTGAGAAAATGCCTAAGTGACCAAAACATGAGTATTATTGCTAATACGGAATCCCTTTGACTTGTATTGATATAGATTGAAGTTGAAGGGGTTGGCGAATGTTGTATTATGCTCAAGAGCAGGAAGTTAAGGTATGTGAGGCTAACTCTCTATGTTTGGGAATATTAATGATTCTCCCTACACTACGTTTCTTTTACGACGTATCAATTGCCTAAAAAATATAGTTAAGCCTAGTTCCTTGAATAGTTGTAGAGCTTCTATTCTCTAGCTTCATAACTCGTTCATGACTTTCATTCTGAACGTTGTGAGCTTAGTGCGTATTCAATATAGACTTGGGTTTGATACCCCCGAGTTTTAGTATAGATTACTTAGTATGCCATAAACAGTTGAAGTTTCAGTGTTCATAATCAGTTCAAGAATACATGTCTAAGTCTAGTCCTATTCAGTATTCCAGTATTATGTAACTCAATGTGATTCAGTATTTTACTATCATATATTGCAGTATGATTCTCAGTTCCTGATTTTAAATCCCTGAATGTTGAACACTTGTATTTGGGCCTGAGGCTGCAGTTTATGCTTTATGCATCTTTGGGCCAGAGGCCGCAGTTTATGCTTTATGCATTTTTGACCTGAGGTCGCAGTTATGTATACGTATACTTTGGCCCGAGGCCGCAGCTTGTGCATATATATATATTGGGCCTGAGGCCGCAGTTTAATATTCAGATAAACAGGCTGTTCATCATTCAGAAGAGGGAGTATTCATATCCTTACTTCCTTTCAGTTCAATTATTAGTTACCGTTCAGTTATCAGCTATCATATCAGTTACCAGTTATCAGTTATCAGTTCAATTACCAGTTATCAGTTCAGTTATCAGTTCAGTTATCAGTTATCAATTATCAGTTATCATTTCAGTTTCAGTTTGAATAGTTATCATTTCAGTTATCAATTATAAATTCTCAGTTATCAGCTTAGTTTCAGTTTCAGCATTTATAATTCTTTCTTTTAGATGCTTTACATACCAGTACAATTCAAATGTACTGACGTCCCTTTTGCTCGAGGCATGCATCTCACAATGCATGTAATGATTTACATGTTGATGATTTCGAGAGATAGGATTTTCGTACCAGCTATTTGGTGATCCTCAGTTCTTTCGGGGTATTATCATTACTATAACCTTCAGTATTTCAGACAGTCAGTGTTTACAGTACTTCATTAGAGGCTTCATAGACTAGAGTAACAGTTAGACAGAGTCTCAGACTTTTCATGTTAAGCCATGTTGCCTGCAAATATGTTTCAAAATTGTATTAGTATTTCCGCACTTTGATTTATATCATCCAGACTTTCAGTATATCAGCATGTGTTAGTTTATCTTCCGCATTTAGTATGTTATGATATCACATGTTGATTCAGCCAGCCAGTTGGTTCGCTCGGTCACATATAGTCAGGCACCGAGTGCCGTGTTATGTCCAGGCCCAGGTTTGAGGCGTGACATGTCATGAGCCACTATGATTAAGATTTATAAACCTAAAAGAAGAATAAGTACACCATCTTCTTGAAAGTTACATGAGCAGAGTTTAAGACGTAAACTATCATGAGTAAGAGGTAGCTTGAAGCTGGAACATCTTCGATGCAAGGCTCCATCTTCAACAGCTACACGACTCCAAGATTTGCACACAAGGCGTAGAAGTATAGCATGAGTATAACAAACCCCATGTACTCAGTAAGTATCTTAACTAACCTCGATGAACTAGTGACGAGGCTTTAAGTTAACAGATACTCAATTATATTTTTATTTGTGCAAATGATAAGCAAGAAGAGCAATACAAGAAAGATACACAAATACATAAACATGTAATGAATGAAACAAGAATACAATGATAGAGGGCCCCAAAATATCAACACTTCTTAGTCTCACAACACAATGCGATGACATAAATCAAAAGACAAGAATAACTATAATACATTTTCTCCGTTGCGGCACGCAACCCAATCCCACATATATAAAGAATAATGTTGCGGCATGCAACCCGATCCCCCAATATCAATAAACACTATTGTAGCGTGCAACCTGATCCCCAATATCAATAATATCATATGAAACCACACACCAAATGCAGGAAAAGTTCAAAACGGAACACTAAGAAAACGAACACGCGATATTCAACTAGGTAATACAACTCAGACCGCGTAGAATGAGCGGTCCAATGTCAAAAGCTAGTCTACCATACATAATGACAAATCTTCCACAAAGCATAACACACAACTAATCTAAAAGTCACACAATCCGGTTAAACAAAAGAGAGTAGAACATGAAACGAGTAAAGAATGTTTATCAAGTAAGAACAGGGTTCGAATGAAGACATTCAATAGGTGGAATTAGGTAGCAAGTAAAGGCATGTAACAAGTAAATCGATTTAATCAGTGAAGACATATTGTAAGTAAAAACATATAGTAAGTGAAGACATATAGTAAATGAAAGCGTGTAGTGAGTGAAGACATGTATCAGGTTAAGGCAGTTAGCAAGTAATCACATGATAATTAAAGGCATGTAATAGGTATGGGCTAATAACAAGTAAAGACATGAATTCGAAGAAGACATGTAATAGAAGTAAATCAAGTGAAAGCGCAGGTGTAACAGTAACAGACAGGAAAGACATAGCTATAATAGTAACATGCCAAAAGGGAAAACGCAGAGGTAGCTACAAAGGAACTCAAGCAGAAAGTATTATACAAAACCACAAACACCAATAGAAACCAAAGAGAAATACATCTAAGAACTTAAAGAATGAGCGATCATAACAGAAATCTAACTTCCTTCCTTTCTTTTTGCACGGTAATAACCACAAATCAATTTATTTCAAATCACACGGAAATACTCATCGTGTCAACATCATATCAATCACGTAGAAATACACATCGCGCCAAACATAGCCCGAAGGCCCCAATCACTATCTCGAATAAAGAAGCTCGTGTAACATGACAATAATATGTATAAATATAGATTCCTGATACTACGATCAAGTTAAGTATGCTAACAAATATCGAAAACGACACATTTAGTCCTTTTTAAGATGTCACATGCTCTAACATGATTTCTAATGCAAATAATTGAGTTTACTAGTCATGGAATTAAATGAAGCATATGTTAAGGGATCATCAAGTTCAACAAAGGCACAAAGAGGCATATAATTTCTCCATCCCGAGCATGGAAACCCTGGCACATGCATATACGCTCGTCACCTTTTATATGCATCAACCCCGTATGTAGCAAACAATATCGATTAGTAGGAAAAATTCTCCCAGCAAAGCTAGGCAAGACATTTACCTTATTTCGGAATAATTTCCACAATCCAATACCATCTTCCATAGAAATTATCCTCAAAATGATCAAAACCTAGTCAAATATCATCTAATGAAGTCAAATAATGCTAAAGGAAACATCCCTAATACATAAAGGCTCAATCTTTGCCAAAATCCCAAAAACAAAAGTCAACCCCGAGCTTGCTTGGTCAAAACTCAAGATTCAGATAAAAATCCAATTATCCATTCACCCCCGAGCCCGGATATGCAATTTATTTCGAAATTTGTCCTCAATTTGGGGTTTAAATCTCAAATTTACAAAATTCCTAAATTCTACCAAAACGCCCAATTTCTACTTTAAAATCCATAGATTTGATGTTAAAATTCATGAAAAACTAATTAAAATTGATTGAAAACTAGGTAAAGATGCTTACCTATAAATTCGGGAAGAAAAATTCTTAAAAAATTGCCCCTGGAGTGCTTAGGGT